TAGAAACTAATTAATCTACTTGGCTGCAATTTTATTAATTCATCTAATTCTAAACTCAAGCATCCTCAATTAAGAGTTTAGGGCGTAATAATGTGGAAATCCTCTCATATGAAACATTTTAAATAATTAAATCAAAATACTTCACTTTGCCTCATTATTTTTATGAAAGATATATCAATAAATAGTTGAACCCTGCATAGTATGTAAGAACACAGTAAAAACACAAAGAAAGTCAGTTAGGTTAATGCACCTTTTCCGGCGACACACAGTCAAATACATAAACCTGGCCTTGAAAAGACAATGTGAGCTGGTCACCACTAGCTTGTTCAATTATCGCACCATGATCATCAGTGACATTTCCAGGGTTGGAAACTTCTCCTTCTACACTCTCATGTCTGCTGACATTAGCATCACCACAGTTGTTATTGTCCTCCATCCTATTTCCATCACTCATATGGTCCAATCCATGTTGTTCGTTTTCTGGCACATAGGGCACATGCATCGAATGTTGTGCATCACTCATGTGCATACGAGAATCACTCCCATGAATACCATCCATAGTATAGAAAGACCCGGAAAACACCTTTAGAAATGGCAGAAAGATTTATTAAAGAAAATAGAAGGGGGGTAAAAACCCAGTCACAAACTATGGAGAGCACTTTTTATGTTTGAAAAACACATATAGGTAGTTAACTGCATTATGGTGTGCACACTACATGGCATCATAGGGAAATATAACGTTAATCACATTCATAAAGTGAGATGTAATATTTCATCCCATTATTTTTTCTTCTAAAAATGGATTATATCAAAATTTAAGGTCAAAAAGGAAAGAAATGCTGAAACAAGGTTAGCATCCAATAATGGGCATGGAAACAAACAGAACCAGAGAACCACAGATAATTATCACACGCCAGCATTGAACCTTGACATCAAGTCGGATCAATTTACTTATCACAATTTAAGTTTCAACTCAATCTTCAAGTGATTTCTCTTTCCTTTGCAGATGAGCAGACATTCCATCACAGAAAAGCAAACATCCTGTTTGAAGCGTGCTCCATTACTAGATACAGTAAAAATTTAGCCAATACAATAAAATAGAGGGAGACAAAGCTAGAACTAACTATGATGGAGACACTTAGTTAATTAAAGAACTCTGCCAAACAATCGATATTGCTGAGTTTACAGAATAAGTACTCATTTAACAATAATCAGATTAACTAGCTACAGCGATACCCACAACTTCAATCGCCGTTAATTAAACGACCCACTATAGATTCGTTTTGAATACGGACATAAGGGCAATAAAAGAGGAAACACCGGGACGAAGGAAGAACTTGAACGAACAGAAGCAGCGCAGGGGATTGATAGAATAGCAGCAAGGTTTTGTCTTGATCTGCACAAAAAGCCAGAAACGAAGCCAGATACCTCCACAGGGGAAGAAATGAAGAGGAAGGGTAAGAGCAAGTGGGGAGAAAGAGAGAAGAGAGGAAAAAGCAGGAACCAAATGAGAGAGTAACGGGAAAAAAATGCCTCGGAATGGAAGCTCCTGTCCGGCTTTCGTTGTTGTTGAAAGTGGGAATTGGAGGGTAATATATTGTGGTGAGGTGATGATGAGGAATGAGATCAGGGGAACATTACCCACTTTTCCAAGTCAACATTTTTCTCAACCCAATATTTCATCATTATATGTACCCTCGTGACCTCGACAATACGAACTATTTCACATTGCAAATTGGTTTGCTTTTAGGGGTGAAAATAGGACAAGTTGGTCTAAACTTAGCCTATAATTTATTATGGTTTTTTTTTTTCAGTCTGAGTCTAATATGTATAAAAGCCTGACCTGACTTAAACCTGTTAAAAAAAACTTGTATTTTTAAAATGTATAGTAAAAAATACATAGACTAATAAAAAAATAAAATATGCATACTACATAATAATTATTTTTTATTTAAATTTTAATGTTATAAGTAATAGTTTAAATTTTAATTACAATTAATATTATTGAAAACAAGTTATAAGTACATATTAAAATTTGAAATAAGATTAGATATAAGTATAAAATAAAAATTAAAAATTAAGATAAATAAACAGATCAGATCAGACTTTTTTAATTTTGAAGCAAGTCAGGTCAAACTAGACCAAATACATGCTAAGCCAAAAGTCTTTGATAGGCCCCTGGTCTATTTTCACTTTTATTTGCTTTTTCTTGTTTTTGAAAAAAAAAAAAGCGAGATTGGCCCCAAAAAAAGTGAGGTTTGTAATTAATCATTACTAATTTCTAAGATTGTAACTCATTATCACATGTTAAAAATGTATTAAATTGAAAATTTATAAATTTTCATATAGAAATACAAATGTAAAACTTATAAATTTACATATTAACTCAATCTAATGGTTATAAGCAATTTAATCTAAATTTTGTCATTTTAAGCCTTTGCTAAAAATCATTCTCTAAGTTATTTTCATAAAATGAAATTAAGTCAACACTTATTAATAAAATATTATTCCTATTCTCAGTATAAGAACTAGTTAACTAATTTGAGTGGATTAAAAAAATTAGTTAAGTAAATTATTTGTAATAAATAAGTGTTGTCTTTTCTAAAATACTCTTACTAATAATGTTTATTAGCTAAAATTACAACTTGATGAAACTTACATGTATAACTAATTAACTACTATAAATATTACTTTAAAAAAATGAATAAATATGAGAGATAAACTGAATTAAAATCCTATAATTAAAACTAAATTAAATGTCAAATTAGCTCTTACTACTATATTAAAAACGGGAGCAGATAGTTTTAATAAAATTATAGTATTTTTAATTTTTTTTATTTCTATCCTTAATTAATGGATCTAGATCCTCTGGAATCTCTCTTCTTTTTCTTTTAGTACCCCTCTACCATTTTCATAAAACAACATTAAGATAATTCACCAAAAAAAAAAACAACATTAAGATAAACATGCTAATAAAGTTATAATTGAGATGATAAGGGGTCTCAATCTCATAGGGAAGAATATAAATTTAAATCCTGAAAAATAAAATCTACTTATTGGAAGAGTTTTAACTATATCTAACAGAAATTAGTTTCCAGGTCCAAAATAATTTGAGGATATATTAAGTTACAATGTTACATAAAAAAAAAAGTTTTTTAGAGATAACATTTTGGGAGGAAAATGAAAAAAAAATTACTAAAAAATTTTCTATTACAAATTTGTTGTCTAAAGTTATATGAAATTTAGTTAATAGTTGATGCCCAATGGGTACAACTTTTATTTAAGTTTGTGTAATTTATCATCAATTATTTGCAAACCTGAAAATATTTCCATATAATATACACTTAAAAGATACTTTGTTGCATGGTTGATGGTTACATAAGTTTTGTGTCAAGTGATTTGCTTTAAATTAAAACGTACTGAATGATTTATTTTTAATTAATTTCCAAAGCCCCGTTTGAAGACCGTGAGGGAGGGAGGAGGAAGAGAAGCCATGGAGCAGTCCAGTAGGCCATTTTCCAAGTTTTCAACTCGGCATCCTTCTCCCTCCATCTCTGTGCTTCATTCTCATCTACAAAACCTGAAACCCTAATCTGCTTATCGTTTCTTTCCTTTTTCGTTTTCATACTTGTCTATTTTTCTTCTTCAGCTTGAAAATTTTCGGAGACACAGAATTTGTATCGATAGATACAGTTGCGAGCATTCATGCGAACATCATACCTCCTTCTTCGGCATCGTTTTAGCCGCTCACAGCAACACACTTTTCAATCCATCCCCATCGTCAAATGTTCACTTCGTTCCGCTAATTTCTCACAGCTTTTATTATTTCACACCTCTCAACATCAACTACCACAAACAAGTGATAGCAGTATCGCCCAAGCCCCATCTGGTTCCTCTTTACTGTTACGAGGCAATTTTCCGACGGCGGCAACTTCAAGACGATTCGCTTTGCTTGGCTTTCTTGGGTTGGATGGCCATCGTCACTTAAATCCTCCCCATTATCCTCAGTATTCGTTGCATCGGAGTAAGATTTTTTTTTTTAATTACTATATATGGTTCTCGAGTTCCTTCGCCCATTTCTAAAATCTTTGGTTTGGTTTATCTTTTGTAGGTTTTTTTACAAGGGCAAAACAATTTAAGAAGATTGATTTCAATGATCGCCACAGGTTTAACTATGCTTAACTCTTCCTCATTTCGGCGTTGACTTGTTTCAATGAGTTTGACTTAGAAATTTTGCTTCGATCCTTGGAGCTTGCAGCATAACACAATGGCATGTCCTTGATTCGCGTATGTTAGATAATCTTTTTTTCTTTCGACCAACAGCTAATATTTCTTATCTTTTTTGTTGTTTCTTCATTTCTTTAGTCAGCGGGCTGTAACAACTGCATTGTGGTGTAACTTTCTTGTCTTTTCTCTCAAGTTTGGAGTTTGGTTAGCTTCCTCTAGCCATGTTATGTTTGCTGAAGTTGTGCACTCAATTGCAGATTTTGCAAACCAGGTATTTTGTTGCATTTTGTATAATAAATTGATTGGCGTAAACTTACCTTGGATTTTAAATTGTTTTATTGTATATTGGCTCCAGAGAAACTAATTGTTGACACATTGTAGGCACTGCTTGCTTATGGTCTTAGTAGTTCAAGGCGTGCACCTGATGCTATTCATCCGTGAGTTGCACATTCTTAATCACATTTGCCAGTTTCCCATCTCTTAGCTCATGTGTGACTGCACATGCATTCAGTACCTGTATATCCACATGCTGTATACTACCAAGTTATCCTGTATGGAACGCATGAGGGAATGCATGAAACCAAGAATAGCTATTGAACCTAGTCATTCAGTGAATTGTACTTATTAGCTGCATAATTGTTACAAATTAAACATGACTTAAGTTTATATGCCGCAATGTCACAAGATGCATCATGTACATACCGGCAATTTATTTGCACAGCTGACCAGTGACATTTATTTCATCTTTAGTTAATGTTGCAAAATGATATATTGTGTTTCTACAGTTACGGCTATTCCAAGGAAAGATTTGTTTGGTCTTTAATATCTGCTGTTGGAATATTTTGCCTTGGTTCTGGTGCTACTGTTGTTCATGGGATTCAAAACTTGTGGATCGCTCAGGTATTTGATCAGATTAAATCTTGTAATTTTCACTTCTTAATCTGCAACTTTAATTTATGACCTTTTCTTTCTTCTTAGCACATATTTCATAAATAATGTATGAATCTGTGAGTTTTCTTTTCAGCCCCCTGAGAACATGCAGCTTGCAGCTTTGGTGATAGGTGGTTCATTTCTCATTGAAGGTACTGGTATATTCATTTTAATTTGATCTACTGTGTTCTCTGTTTTATTTTCTGTTCCTTTCTCTCTTTTAAAGTTTATATTTTGGTTAGGCGCCTCTCTTATTGTTGCCATAAAAGCTGTCAAGGAAGGTGCAGCTGCAGAAGGGATGAAAGTGAGAGACTATGTTTGGCGTGGTCATGATCCTACTTCTGTTGCTGTAATGACGGAGGTAACTTACTGCATTTTTAATTATTAGCTTCTGTGACACGTTCCTGTTACTTGGGTTCAAAAAGGAAAAACTTGAAATCAGGAGAAAATAAGGAAATCAGAGTTTTGAGTGGCATATTATGCTTATCAAATATATTGAGACTATTTTTCTGGAGAAATAATTAAATAAAAATAGGCCATTATATTTGTTTAATTGCTTGATGATCTATAACAGTTAAGCTTCCATTATCCCCATCATGAAGAAAACATGTTCTGCTCTAGCTATTGTGCTTCAGAAAAAGTTTGTAAATAGTTTAATGTGTTGCTAATACTTGTATTTCTCCTCTCCAATGTGCCATCAACTTGAATTCTTTCATCTATGTAGTTTCTAATACAACACAATGAAGAAGCTGTTCTGTCTCCTTGTTGACTCTTCTTATATTTGAGATATCAAATTTGCAGGATGGTGCTGCAGTAACCGGCCTTGCCATTGCTGGGGCATCATTGGTTGCAGTGAATACTACTGGAAATGCCATTTATGATCCTATAGGATCAATCATAGTTGGCAACCTACTGGGATTGGTAAATAGGGATCAGAAGACTGCATATTGTAATAGTGACTTGAGTTATAGAGCATTGGACTGATATATAATTTTGTCCTGTTTCTTGCTGATCTATACAGGTGGCCATATTTCTTATCCAAAGAAATCGCCATGCTTTGATAGGTAGAGCGATGGATGACCATGATATGCAGAAAGTGCTTCATTTTTTGAAAAATGACCCGGTATGAGTGTGATACATTTTTGTTGAAATAGAAGATGGTTGTTTAATGAGTCAATGTGTCATTCCTTTGACTTTTGCCAGGTTTGTATGCTTTAGGTTGTAGATGCCATCTATGATTGCAAAAGTGAAGTTATTGGGCCTGGATTCTTCAGGTTTAAAGCAGAAATAGGTTATGCTTCATATCCTTGTAGTTACTCATTTCCTTGTCTTGATATTGTCAATATAAGTGTAGATTTTATTATTTCAAACCTGCCCTGCATGTTTTTGGCAGCTATTGACGTTAAAGAAGTCCTGTATATTCTTCATTATGTTTGTATGTGACAGCATGCTTCTTGCAGTTAGTATTTGGTACAGTTTGTTCTAATTTTTCAGTTGTTCCTTTATTCTTGGTATCATTCTTTTATGCTTTTCCAGCTTCAGCATCTGAGTTGAACTTGTATATATTAAATTCAAATCATGATGTTTACATCCATAAACATGTTAAATTCAAGTGATGTGGTTTCTACAAGTAATAATTGTGTTTAGGCATTATGATTTTGATGATCTTAGTTGTGTTGAACAGATTTTAACGGGGAGATGGTGGTGCGAAATTATCTCGTCAGTACTGGACGTGATGAGTGGGCTAGAAAGGTTGATCTTCACTCCCTTATCTTCATCTAAATCTTTTCTATGATGTGCTGTCAAATTGTCACTAATAACGTTGTTATCTGCTTAATTTTGCATTTTATTACATATTAATCAAGCAGGAATAAGTGAATATTATGCTCATGTTAATGTGCATTTACATTGCCCAAATAAGTAGATGCATGTTTGTTATGGGGATGGCCGTCTTTGGCATTAGCCAAAGCTGTATTGAGCTCTCTCAGTCATTTCTTCTTCAGCTCCCCCAATCCCCCCTTCCCTTTTTCGGTTTCTCTAAGTAAAGTGTTGAGTTCTTTATACACAGTGGATAATGCATTGAAAAAATAATCCTAAATTTTATAACAATGCTTAGGTGTCACATTTGATATGTAACAAATAACGAGGATAGTTCTGATGGCTGTCTAAATTCCAAAATTACCTTCAAATTGACACCTAACCTGTATGAAAACTTATCTAATGATATCAAGTCATGTAGGACATGACCTGGCTCTCAAGGCCATGCTTAATCTAGTTTCCATCCATTGTTGTTCAAAGCATTATGTATTTCGTCTACAATGAAAGAAGAATTAGCATGCATTTCTTTCTATTGACCATGCTTATTTGGCAATACCCCTGGTTCCAAAATTGATGAAATTATATTCACAGTTCGATGAGGTTGCTGCACAGAAGGATCAGGCTAGCCAGCTGAAGTTTTTGTCAGACTATGGTATTACATTATCCATGACCCCTGTTACTGGCATGTTGATCATGTAGTAACTAAATGCTTACAATTTTGAGTTGCGGCAGGTACGGAAATAGTTACAGCATTAGGAAGTGAAGTTGATAGGTTGGAGCAGGAAATCCAGAATCTTGTTCCTGGTATTAAGCATGTTGATATTGAGGCTCATAATCCGACCTAGCTTTAGTTGTGGATATCTACAGATCGAATAATGTCATTTCATGAGCAATTTAACACGAAAAAGCTGCGTCGCGTTTGAAGCTGTAAATTCATTCTTTACACTTCAATTGACAGTATTGGTGAGGCAAGAAGCCGGCTTTAAAAGTTGCCCATTACAATGTGATTTTCGAATGCTCCATTTTTTATGTTTATTGCATTCACAATGCCCCCTTGAAATGAGACAACAATTGCGGGGATAAATGGCTTCCGAACATGACTTGACCATTTTGAACGCATCACAAACTGAGGGGTAACTAACGAATTCCTGGGGGTCAGAGGATAGCCCGTTGCTTGCGGGAATTATTGAGAGGAGAAAGATTGGAGCTGCTGAATTTTTAGTTCCTGTGATACCAATATATTATTTCAATCCTTAATATAAGAGTTAATTTGATTTTTATTTTAGTTTTAAATGTAAAATTTTAATTTATTTTTTTTTTGTATTTATTTTTTTTCTTTCTAAAATAGTCATTGTAATAATAGTAGTTTTAATTAATACACTTTATTAGTAAGGATATTTTATGAAAGATAATACTTATTTATTATAAATAATTAATTTAACTAATTTTTTTGAATCTATTTAATTAACTAATTTTTATATTAACGATCAAAGATAGTATTTGATAATACTTTCATGTGTCCTAGACACACAACGCTATGTGTGCCCCGGACAGGATTACGTATCATTAGAAAATTTGACATAATAAATATAAAAAACTTGATCTAAATATATTTTTTATTTAAACGAAGATCTAAGTATTTTTCTTACCTGTGCCATTTCTTGTTTAATGTTGGCTTTTAAGGGGGAGAGAGGTTTTATTTAGGGGGTGGGGTCATTTTTTTTCCCCACCTTTACAGGCAAAGTCATGGCAACGAGAGCCCAACTTACAGAGGGCTAATTTTCCAAAAATCCAGCGGACCTAAAAAATCTAAAGCCCAAGTACCAACTCACAAGAATTCTTATACGAATGCTTTCAATCACTTAATTTATAGGACTAATTTATGTTTAATTTTTTTATTTTGATGAATAATTTTTTGAATAAAATATGCTATACCTTTTTTTTTAGTTTTCTTACAGGTAAACTTTACAATTTTTAAGTAGTGTTTTAATTCAAGATGTTTATTGCATTAAAAACAAGTAAAGATTTTTAAGTATTGCTTTAATGTTACTAATCTGTTTCTTGATATAAGATTTATTTAATTAATTTGGTTAGATTAAAAAAATTATGTAAATTATTTAATTATAAGAAATTTGATATTTTTTTTAAAATACCATAATCATCTTCTTTAATATTCTCTCTCTTTGTCCTACTTGATTATATTTAAAAGAGTATCAATAAGGGTAATATAGAAAAAATTAATAAATATAAAAAATAAGTTTTATATTTAAGACTAAAACCAACTCAACAATTAAGTTTTATAAGGAGTATTAAAAAAATCGGCACCCAAAAATATATAAAATAAGATCTAACTAATTAAATTATTTTTAGTTAATGTGTCAACCGGGCTAGATGCATTAGACAAGTCTATGAGAACAAGTGGGCGGTGTTCTTTTACATTCTGTATTCTAAGTTGATCTCAATGATTTAAATATTTTTTCTTTATCTCAATAAATTTAAAAAGTTACTTATCTCGTTAAATTTAAAGTTAAGTACATCATCTTATCAAAAAAAGGGGAAAGAAAAGTTAAGGACAGCGGAATCCACGATCCACGAACTAGGTTGATTCTTACGGCTCACTTGAAAATGAAGCAAGCAACATGGAAGTTGCTGGTCATGCGTGCCTTTCAGCAAAGGTAATTTTTACATGCACGGGTTTGTCTGAAATAACTTATAAATAATTTTTTAATCACAATATATAAAATAAAAAATACTTTCTATGTCTTTTTTTATAAGCAACAACTACTATCTTCTTCTTATCCCTAAATATAAGTAACATTTGTAAGTTGTCTTAAATTTTTATAGCGAATTTTCTATTTTATCCCCATTAATTACATATTTTAATATTCAATATATTTGTTATCTTATTTTCCCAACCATCATCTCTTTTCATCATATATTCTCTCTCGTTCATAATTCCCTTTATTATAATAATTTTTTTATTCTATTTTTTATATTGTCCCCCTATAAATAAAGATATTTTGGAGAAAAAACTTCTAATTTTTACCTATTTATTGTTCTTAACTAACTTTTTGATCTACATAATGAAATACTATATTGCTTATAACAAGAAACGGAAGGAGTAAATATGTAAGAGAAGTTTTATCTAGTACTTATTGTTCGTAGCTCCAAATAAGTCCTACTCTCTCCAGTTAAAATACTGAGCAAAAGCTCAACATAATTAGAAGATATAGCTAGTTATTGGGACGAAGTGCGTAGCGAGGCATGTCAGGAGAGAGATGCAGGAAATCCCAATATTATTTAACTTCTACCAAGTGAACGGAGCTCGGCATCCCTTACCGCAGTTTCCTGAACGCTAGTTGTGGGTTAACAGCGAATAGAATTGTACGGAATGGTGAAATGTTGTGGACTTTACAACCACAGTGGAGTGAAAAAGAAGAAAAGAGCACGTGCTAATGTAAAGTAAACAAAGAAATTGGAAAACGTATTGTAATTTATGAGCTTTCTGAGTCATGATCTTGTTCTCCTTGTGTCTAACGCATCCTAATTTAGAGGTAATGCTTGAGACCAGTCACATTGCACGTTCCTCGATCTTCAACACGAGCCTTCCAAGTTCCCACATTCATCCCGCTAAGCCTTATCTCACTTTCTTCACATTGGTAGACATCATGCGTTCGTTAAACACCCGGACCTCATTGTCTCGTGAGTTTTTTTTTTTTTCCTAAGGCATAGGTATTCTTTCTTACTAAAGCACTGTTAGCTATTAAACGTGAGGAATTTATTTTTTCTTTGCCTCTCATTTGGAGAATTCACTTAGGATGTGTTTGGCAAGCACCTCAAACTATGGTTTTGGGACCCAAACCATGGTTTGGGAAAAATGTTAGCCAAACACCCTTAAAAAAATCAAAACCATGGTTTGGGTTCAAAACCATGGTTTTGACTCTAAAACCATGGTTTTGAGAAAAGCAGAAATTTTTTACTTTTGAAAGAAAAAAGGGAGAGTGTGAGAGCTTATAGGATATGTATCTTGTTGTTTTTTTATAAACATATTTTTATAAATATATTTAATCTTATATCTTATAAATATATACATATTAATTATTTATTAATTATATTATCTTATATATATTAATAATGTTAATAAAAAATATATTATTAACAATTTTATTCCTTCAAATTAAAATATATCATAAAATATATTTTTTCTATAATTATCATATTAATTTATGCCAATTTGTATATATAAAAAGTACTTCTAATAACAACTATCCAAACACTCACACTTCTCAAAATCACTTTTTCACAAAATCTATTCTTCCCAAAATCTATTTTTTTCAGAATCTATTCTCCAGAAGTTATTCTCCAAACCATGGTTTGGTTTCATCCAAACACACCCTTAATCTCTTTAAATCGCAAGCTAGTGCGTGTGTGTATATACACACCACCTTCTCCTTAATATAACAATTAGATAACTAATTTAGAGATATTAAAAAAATTAGCTAAATTGCTTAGTTATCACAATTATGTGTTTATCTCTCTAAACTATCATCTTCAATTATGTGCATTAGATAATTGAAATTATTTTTTGGTAGAAACTCCTTTACAATCAATATGAATATTCTAGAAAAAGATAGGAGACAAAGGTCCCGTTTGGTATGAAGCATTGAAAATAAGAGAATGGGATTGAGATTGCAATTAAAAAAATTATTAAAATAGTATTTAGCATGAGTAATTGCTTATTATATGGGATTAGGCAAACCCATAGAGGTGAGATTAGGGAATATCACTTCTCCCCATAGTATAGACAAACCCATAGAGGTGGGATTAGGGAATACCACTTCTTCTCATAGTATTCTCTGATTCTACATACATGGATTTAACTAATCCCATATAACAAGCAATCTCTTATATTAAATACTCTTTTAATAGATTTTCTCAATTACAATCCTAATTCCAATCCCTCATTTTTAATGCTTCCTACCAAATGTAAACAAAATGGATTGCAATCTTATATTTAGAATAAAAAATATATAAGCATGTATGCATTTGGGCTCCTACAACAACGTGAGATTCTTTTTTACTCACTCACACACAAACTACAAAAAAATCCAGGTCATGCAGGTCCCGGCTATCCTATGTTGGCGTTGGCCATTAATAGTGAGGGGAAGAGAAATGAAGGGAAGCTATAACGAAGAGTTTGTTTTGTGTCCACCAAATATAGGGACGGGCAACACGTAACAACATTCTTGCTTTGCCTTCCATTTGTGTTGGCGCCAACGCCCTCTCTCAATATAAGATTTCCCCTTTATTTCCTTTTATCTCTTTTGCTCATTTAATAAAAAATAAATAATTTTATATTATCAGAGTATGATCATTTCTCGCATTTCTGAGTTCTTTTGCCGCCAAGGTGGGGGCTCCCTATAAGGAGCTTTTCCCTCCAAATTATCGCTCCTTCGGGTGGCTTAGCCTCCCAATCTCTGAATAACCTCATTCTTCAATTCTGTATCGAAGGCCGAAACCATGGAGCCGTCCATCTCTCGTAGCTCTAATGCCTCCACCAATGGCCTCCTCTCCGTCAACATCCCCAGCCACAATGATGTCGAACCCCTCCCTCCTCGGATCAATGCCGACGACGATGACGACGATGTTGTCGATCCCGATGATCCTTTTGATATCACTCACACCAAGAATGCGCCGGCTGAGACACTCCAGCGATGGAGAGTAAGCATTTCGATCTCATTCTTATTTGTGTTAAACGCATTTCTCCTCCTCACCGTTCACACGCTTCGCCTCTCTGGTGCATTCATGATTCTTTTTATTTTTAACAACCAATAATGTCAATGTGCATTGTCTTGATTGTGTATTAAATTATGTCTCTTGTATAAATACACTTGGTTAGTGTAAATGCTTTGCGCTTGGATAATGATTGATCGAGGATGTCGTTGAGAAGGATTTTTCATTACATGATGAAACCGTAGTAATTGATGATTTAGTGGATTTGCTGGAGATTTTATTTTTGTTTTTCTTTATTAAGAAAGTTGCAACGTTTAACAAACTGGAAATGCATCCACTACGAGGTGTAAT